AAAAAATGTTTCTTTGCTCGTCGGTTCTCAAAAAGTTCTTGATGTTTTCTCCCTTTGAAAACATAGAGGCCATCTTGAGGGCTAATACTAGACAGTGGGGGTCAAACTGTTGGGGAACTCGATATATGCATCTTTTGTCCACTGAGATTGTTGACTACAGGAATTGTTACTAGGTGTCATTAATTATTAATTTTTCTGTTATTAAATTGTACCAAAACTAAATAAGTAAGCTATAAGTAAGTAATATGTGCATTTATTTTGCCTGCACTACACAACCAAATGGACTCGAAGTTTATGAGGAATACAGTACTGCTGACAAGTAACTTAAGCGGAAACACATTTGCAAAGGGGTGCAGAATGGATACCGAATGGGTTTGGGAACAGGTGCAGAACGAGTACAGAACGTCTACGGAATGGGAATGGAATGGATACGGAAAGGTAACAGATCAAAAATATGGAAGAGGTGTTCTTTAGAATGCAAACTCTAAGAGAACATGTTCTACAGAATGCATGCTAGTTTATCAGAGTGCTTACCAGGGATTTAGAAATGATGGAACTTTAAATATATGTTGGTCCACTTTTTGTCCGGCCCATCGATGTTGAGAAAATGACAGAATGAATCATCTCATGTCTTTTTTATTTTTTTACACGCATGAAGGAAGCATCTCTGCATCATCTAGTCCATTTCATGTTCATTGCAGCCATTTTATTGTCAACAAGCCCAAGCTATAGACAAATAAGATGGATGAGTCAAGTAAGACTGGGACTGAAAGGTTTCTGCATGAAAAGAAACAAAACAAAATCTTGATGCATGTGGATGGTTTGGTTGATCCTTAAATACGGCATTGTTTGCCAACTTTGTGGAAGGATAGGTGAGTATAACATTCAATCTTAACTGAACATTTGCCTGTGAAAATTACATCACTAAAAGTATTACAAAATGTTTAAACAGTACTGCACTCACTTCGGCTTGTTGGTAGTACTTTGCACTGCTCCTGTCCTCCAGCCAAGTTTCCGCCACATTGGCCAAACAGTTCTCGGTGATACCTCAGTGTCAAATCTCACTCGAAGTATTCATGTTAACATTAAAGCTGAAAGTTCGTGTTTTGCTTGCATTTCTTCATCAATGGCATTAAAAGTGCTTGGCAAGCTTGTTACTTGTTCCTTTCCTCGGGCAATCACACAGACTACAGGTCGCATTGAATTGTTTCAGATTGAGACTTACTACTAGCCTTGAAGTTACAATACCATCTTGTATTTTTCGACTAATTGGACTCACATTTTCACCACGACAATGTAAGTTTACTTTTTGTATACTCATATAAAGCAGTAGTTTACCCATTTCATGAAATGCAAATAATTAGTGTCAGGTTCTCGGAAACCTCATTCCTCTGAACGAGTTCTTACAATGCTTACTGATGGAACGCTAATGGAACGGGAACAAAACAGTTCGGAACGAATAGAGAACAGATATGGAATGGAGACGGAACGGATACAGAATAGATGAGGGAAGGATAGAGAACAGATGCGGGAATGTGTGTGTAATGGACATGGGACGCTTTTCCTGTTAGTTTACTTCTGAGCAGTACTATAGATGCATTTGCCAGCTGGGATGATGATAGGTTTTAATTGACACATTATTATTATTATTATTATTATTATTATTATTATTAATTGACGCATCAATAACTAAAGATACCGTACTCACAGCAAAATGGATAAACAGTACAGCAATATCCTACATGCACCAAAGCTGGAGATGTAAACCCTCAACTAGAGGTATAGAAATTGTCAGCATAAAGATGATGGTTTGTATGGTGTAGATCTGCCACCAAATCCAGAACAATCTTACCAGTCTTCCCAATAGCACCCAGTCTCTCTGTCATCCTTCCCAGCATAGATTGAAAAATTTTTGCAATAGCCAGTCTTGGCATCGCAGAGTTCAAAGAATTTCACACCAAATTTAACCAGCTTATCTGGCATTCTCACCTTAATGGAAAGCTTTCCTTTGAAAGGAACCATCGCTTCATTGATGGAGATTTCACGGGAACAGTTGAAAAGGTTCTTGAATTTCTGAACAATATCATGCTAAAGTCCTCTTACTTTGTACAAAGGGTCTTTCTTCTCTTCCTCCATTTGTTCATGGTCTGGATCGCAAAAGAATATGTATGATGTTAATTGGAAGAAATGTTTTTGAGAGCATAAAACGTTTTTCACTCCTGGAATGTGAAATAACTTTGTTTCTGAAGATGACAAATAGTATCGCTTGTCGCGTGGAACAACAATCATGTCATTTGTAATGATCAATACAGCTAGAAATGCCTTCAGCTCTTCAGATGTGACCGGTTGCCAATTTGGTGCTCGCTTTTTCTGAGCGTTCTTGTTTGCGAATTCGACCATTTTACGGAAGATTTCCTCAGTGAAAAACAATGAGAAAAAGTCAACAGCCTTACTGGAATCAGGTAAGTTGATTGTGAGAGCAGGTCTTAGTGTAAACAGTTACATGTTTCCATTGAAGCGCTGCCTCTCCCACTGCATGTTTTCAGGCAAATTAAAATCAAAACCCGAAAACTCATCTTCCTCTTTGTCGGTATCAAACAGTTCTCGAAGGTCATCATCTTTCAGGCCTGAAAATTCAGTTGAAGATGATAGTTCCGATGCGGAAAGATTGTCGTTCTCATCTGAAGACATTTAAAAATGGCGTGGATCGGTTCTTTTAAGCATTAAAATGTTCAAAACAAAATATCTTGCAAACACGGTGGCTCGTTGCTAGGCATTTTCCTCCCATAGCGTCCTTTTGGTCACGTGACCAAGCGGCCCTCCGATGGCGTCGTTTGTTTGTGCTCAAAATAATGTTGCTTTCAATAGCCGCTCGTTGGTTACGACAGCCAATATGATTATATTTAGCCATCATATAATAGCCCAACCTTCCAACTACCGATTTTTAATAGTTCCGATTGCATATGTTTCCGCTAGAGACGGATTATGACATCTGTTTAAGTCCCACTCTAAGGCACATTTCTGGGTTAAAAATTGACTAGGACTGGACCAAACCGTCTTTTTCCAGGGTAGGGACAGTCTTCCCATATTAGCGCTTCTTTTCAATTTCGGGATCCCCCCATAGGATTGTTTGGGAGAGCAAAAAACTAAATTGTGATGTTATGATAGAGTGGTTCGTGGAGGAAATTGCGAATTTCTTTATATTTCCTTTTTGTAACCTCCCTAATATGAAATAAAAAAGCTTTATCGATGCCTTTTGTCTTTATTTATTCTTGCTTTGGGAGCAGAGAGCTATAAATTTGTTTGTCTTAAACCCAGAGTTTATTGGGTACTCGAAGCTTCTTGTTGGCCGCCATATTGGATTCATCACTGGCATCGACCATTCATACAGCACAGCAATAGAAGGACCTTTTACTGGCAATTTTCGATATGGAACACAATCTCTCAGGCGTTGAAGGGAAAGAGAGGTAAAGAAAATAGTTTTGAGCATGGCTTTGACAGAATACGTGTCTTTACTTGGAGACCATCTTTGATTTCAGAAAGACTCATGAATAAAAACGGATTTCTTTCTTGTTGTAGTCGAAAGCAATCATGTGGAAAAAGCAAAAAGTGCAGCAAGCCCAATGCTCACCCTGGACGCTGTGATTCAAAGAGAGTTTTTCATGAGTTTTGGAAAAGTTCAACTTCGCATATAGCTTTGAAAAGGAAGGGTCAATTAAATGAAGAAAATAGGAAAATAGAAGAAGAACTTCACACCAAAAAGGCTCGTCTGGATGAAGTTGGTAAATATTACAGAGTGTTTTAAAAGGCCATAAGTTTCTCCTTTTTAATATATTAAAATCAGGACTGATATTTATATAANTGCTTACCAGGGATTTAGAAATGATGGAACTTTAAATATATGTTGGTCCACTTTTTGTCCGGCCCATCGATGTTGAGAAAATGACAGAATGAATCATCTCATGTCTTTTTTATTTTTTTACACGCATGAAGGAAGCATCTCTGCATCATCTAGTCCATTTCATGTTCATTGCAGCCATTTTATTGTCAACAAGCCCAAGCTATAGACAAATAAGATGGATGAGTCAAGTAAGACTGGGACTGAAAGGTTTCTGCATGAAAAGAAACAAAACAAAATCTTGATGCATGTGGATGGTTTGGTTGATCCTTAAATACGGCATTGTTTGCCAACTTTGTGGAAGGATAGGTGAGTATAACATTCAATCTTAACTGAACATTTGCCTGTGAAAATTACATCACTAAAAGTATTACAAAATGTTTAAACAGTACTGCACTCACTTCGGCTTGTTGGTAGTACTTTGCACTGCTCCTGTCCTCCAGCCAAGTTTCCGCCACATTGGCCAAACAGTTCTCGGTGATACCTCAGTGTCAAATCTCACTCGAAGTATTCATGTTAACATTAAAGCTGAAAGTTCGTGTTTTGCTTGCATTTCTTCATCAATGGCATTAAAAGTGCTTGGCAAGCTTGTTACTTGTTCCTTTCCTCGGGCAATCACACAGACTACAGGTCGCATTGAATTGTTTCAGATTGAGACTTACTACTAGCCTTGAAGTTACAATACCATCTTGTATTTTTCGACTAATTGGACTCACATTTTCACCACGACAATGTAAGTTTACTTTTTGTATACTCATATAAAGCAGTAGTTTACCCATTTCATGAAATGCAAATAATTAGTGTCAGGTTCTCGGAAACCTCATTCCTCTGAACGAGTTCTTACAATGCTTACTGATGGAACGCTAATGGAACGGGAACAAAACAGTTCGGAACGAATAGAGAACAGATATGGAATGGAGACGGAACGGATACAGAATAGATGAGGGAAGGATAGAGAACAGATGCGGGAATGTGTGTGTAATGGACATGGGACGCTTTTCCTGTTAGTTTACTTCTGAGCAGTACTATAGATGCATTTGCCAGCTGGGATGATGATAGGTTTTAATTGACACATTATTATTATTATTATTATTATTATTATTATTATTAATTGACGCATCAATAACTAAAGATACCGTACTCACAGCAAAATGGATAAACAGTACAGCAATATCCTACATGCACCAAAGCTGGAGATGTAAACCCTCAACTAGAGGTATAGAAATTGTCAGCATAAAGATGATGGTTTGTATGGTGTAGATCTGCCACCAAATCCAGAACAATCTTACCAGTCTTCCCAATAGCACCCAGTCTCTCTGTCATCCTTCCCAGCATAGATTGAAAAATTTTTGCAATAGCCAGTCTTGGCATCGCAGAGTTCAAAGAATTTCACACCAAATTTAACCAGCTTATCTGGCATTCTCACCTTAATGGAAAGCTTTCCTTTGAAAGGAACCATCGCTTCATTGATGGAGATTTCACGGGAACAGTTGAAAAGGTTCTTGAATTTCTGAACAATATCATGCTAAAGTCCTCTTACTTTGTACAAAGGGTCTTTCTTCTCTTCCTCCATTTGTTCATGGTCTGGATCGCAAAAGAATATGTATGATGTTAATTGGAAGAAATGTTTTTGAGAGCATAAAACGTTTTTCACTCCTGGAATGTGAAATAACTTTGTTTCTGAAGATGACAAATAGTATCGCTTGTCGCGTGGAACAACAATCATGTCATTTGTAATGATCAATACAGCTAGAAATGCCTTCAGCTCTTCAGATGTGACCGGTTGCCAATTTGGTGCTCGCTTTTTCTGAGCGTTCTTGTTTGCGAATTCGACCATTTTACGGAAGATTTCCTCAGTGAAAAACAATGAGAAAAAGTCAACAGCCTTACTGGAATCAGGTAAGTTGATTGTGAGAGCAGGTCTTAGTGTAAACAGTTACATGTTTCCATTGAAGCGCTGCCTCTCCCACTGCATGTTTTCAGGCAAATTAAAATCAAAACCCGAAAACTCATCTTCCTCTTTGTCGGTATCAAACAGTTCTCGAAGGTCATCATCTTTCAGGCCTGAAAATTCAGTTGAAGATGATAGTTCCGATGCGGAAAGATTGTCGTTCTCATCTGAAGACATTTAAAAATGGCGTGGATCGGTTCTTTTAAGCATTAAAATGTTCAAAACAAAATATCTTGCAAACACGGTGGCTCGTTGCTAGGCATTTTCCTCCCATAGCGTCCTTTTGGTCACGTGACCAAGCGGCCCTCCGATGGCGTCGTTTGTTTGTGCTCAAAATAATGTTGCTTTCAATAGCCGCTCGTTGGTTACGACAGCCAATATGATTATATTTAGCCATCATATAATAGCCCAACCTTCCAACTACCGATTTTTAATAGTTCCGATTGCATATGTTTCCGCTAGAGACGGATTATGACATCTGTTTAAGTCCCACTCTAAGGCACATTTCTGGGTTAAAAATTGACTAGGACTGGACCAAACCGTCTTTTTCCAGGGTAGGGACAGTCTTCCCATATTAGCGCTTCTTTTCAATTTCGGGATCCCCCCATAGGATTGTTTGGGAGAGCAAAAAACTAAATTGTGATGTTATGATAGAGTGGTTCGTGGAGGAAATTGCGAATTTCTTTATATTTCCTTTTTGTAACCTCCCTAATATGAAATAAAAAAGCTTTATCGATGCCTTTTGTCTTTATTTATTCTTGCTTTGGGAGCAGAGAGCTATAAATTTGTTTGTCTTAAACCCAGAGTTTATTGGGTACTCGAAGCTTCTTGTTGGCCGCCATATTGGATTCATCACTGGCATCGACCATTCATACAGCACAGCAATAGAAGGACCTTTTACTGGCAATTTTCGATATGGAACACAATCTCTCAGGCGTTGAAGGGAAAGAGAGGTAAAGAAAATAGTTTTGAGCATGGCTTTGACAGAATACGTGTCTTTACTTGGAGACCATCTTTGATTTCAGAAAGACTCATGAATAAAAACGGATTTCTTTCTTGTTGTAGTCGAAAGCAATCATGTGGAAAAAGCAAAAAGTGCAGCAAGCCCAATGCTCACCCTGGACGCTGTGATTCAAAGAGAGTTTTTCATGAGTTTTGGAAAAGTTCAACTTCGCATATAGCTTTGAAAAGGAAGGGTCAATTAAATGAAGAAAATAGGAAAATAGAAGAAGAACTTCACACCAAAAAGGCTCGTCTGGATGAAGTTGGTAAATATTACAGAGTGTTTTAAAAGGCCATAAGTTTCTCCTTTTTAATATATTAAAATCAGGACTGATATTTATATAAATTTAATACTTTATTTCATCTTGCAAATAACTTCTGAATATTTGACTTTGTTTTTACAGACAAACAAGTGGAAAGCTCAGTAGCTCAAAAGGATGCAGCTGAAGGGGAACTTGAAAGGCTTGAAAGAAGTGTAGAAGAAAAGACACTTCAAGTTCAACAGCAAGAGGAGAAAGTCAAGGAATTAAATGAGCAATACCACAAATTTAAATCTTTGCTTGAGCAGAAAGGGTTTTCTGTCAGTAGGAGACAAAATACTACTACTACTTATGAGATGGTTACAAATGTCAATTCTAGTACTAGATATAGAAGAAGACATGAAACCAAAAATGTCTTACAATTTATACATGGGGGAAAAGAAGGATCACTCTATGGGGCTTGGGATTATGTGTCATCTACTGCTGACAATCAAACCATGGATAAGCTGATTTCAGGGCTCAAACGGGGAAAATATATCCAAGGCTTGTTTGACAAGACAATGAAGCACTATCAAAATTCAGAAGAGGCTTTGAAGCAAGCTGTGCTTATGAAGTACCAAAACTTTTTGTCTAGAAGAAAGTATGCCCTTGTCTGTAAAACTCAGTCCTCAGTTTTTGATCCCAATTCTGAACTCTGGGTGCCTCGCAACATGAAATGTTTAGGTCTGGACTTAAGGGTTCCATGTATAACTATTTCTGATAAGCGGGTGGAAAATTTTGTGAAGAGTCTTGACATTGGCCATGTCAATCAAATCCCCAATGCATCAGGTGTTTCTAGAACAATAACTGGGTTGGTATTTATGGTAATTGATTTGCACTTGAGACTTCCTCATTTGTCACGTAAACTCACTTGGTTCAATGAGAACACAAATCATTTTATATTTCAATTTTCTGATGATGGGGCTCCTGAGTCCAGCCAACTAACTATGTCAATAGGAAGTCTGACATGTTGGAACTTTGGGGATAGGGTAAGAAGTAGGGATTTCCAATATATTTTACACTGTGTCAGTTTGGGGGAAAAACATGAGGTGCTTGAAAGTATTTGGAAGCAACATACTGATGAAATGGAAATGTTAGACGGTAATGTTTTTAATGTTTGTGACAGGCAATGTACTTTAGAGTTTCAGCCAAGTGCTGATATGAGCCGGCAGAGCTGGGCTAATAATGAATTAAATCAAGCTGCTACTTATCCTTCTCCTTATGCTAATGTTAGCAAAGGAAACATGTGTACCATGGGTGCTACAATTGGGTTGAGGGAAGAAGATTTATTTAAGCCATTTACTCTAGAAATCAGGAAATCTCATGTTAACAAGGTTGACAATTTCATGAATTCATTGCCGTCTAATTTGTCTGAGAAGAATCGCCATGCCAGAAAACTAAAGTTTATGGCAGAAAGTGGGATACGGCAGTTAGGTCCACCCCGGATTGGTATTTTTGCAGACCGACAGCGGCCAGAGCCTGTCCACTGTGAAATTAATGCATGGCAGCATTTATTAAACATCATTTACAGAGAGGCAGTACAGAGAGGTAAATTTACAGAGTTTATTGATATCCTGAGTGCCTCAGCTGTAGGACAGAGTACTCATCAGGGTACTGTCCCTGAAAAGCCAAGGGTTTTTGTTTCTCATGATGATGGAGGAGGGGAGAGATCCACTCAAGTTGATATTGTGAATGATTCTAACACAAAGTTTGTAAGTGGTCTAGGTAATGCAATATCAAGTTTCCAAAAAGACAGTTCCAGTGAGACTGGTTGTGGGTTGGGATATTTAGCTTCTGTAGTTAAGGAACACTATAGTGATGAGGCCCAGAGGCATAACAAGCTTCCAGTACGGTTAATAGGAGATCAGGCCATTGCCTTGGCAAACTTCTCTTACAGGCTCATTGATAGCCTCAAAATTGTAGAGGAGTCCCCAGCACAGAAACTAAAAAGATTAGTCTTGGGCAAAATTGCCCAGTTTCTTAGAAATGCTGGTGCTTTATTCAACAAAATTGAAATTTGTGCTGTTGACCTTGGTCAGCTTAAGGAATTTTGCACTTTATATTTTAACCTGTATGTATTATTTTTTGAAATGGATGTAAATGTTACGGTTTGTTCAGTAGGATATGCCATACCATATCACGCAGCTAATTTGTATGAAAATTATAAAGTAGGTTATGGAATTATATCACTACAGGCAAAAGAGGCAAAGCACTCAGGGATAAAAAATGACTTGGACCTGACAAACAGATCTAATGCTGCATCTGATAAAGGTAAATGGTGGCAGGTTATGAGGGCTAACTATGTAAGAGCATTTTATTTGCCGGAACATCAGCCAATGCCAAATTCTTACATTTCTCATTACAAGTCTCGCCTTCCTTCTCACATAAACTCTGAAATATTTTGCAACTGTGGAAGGGCTAAAGAAATGAGTGACGACACATGTCTGGTATGTGTAGATGCCAGGGTGATTGTGGAATGTGCAGAAAAAGAGAAACTTCTACTGGAAGTAGTTGAAATGTTGAAACCTGTTTTGTGCTCTGAGTGCAATGAAAGATTTCCAGATACTGTAAGTTGTCAAGCTCATCAAAGGATGCATTCAAGAGAGAGACAGTCTAACACAAACAACCCTGATAGCCGCAACTTGCACCCTAAAACTATGAAAGTAAGTGACCTCAAAAAGGAGCTGCAAAGTAGGCAATTAAGCACCACTGGAAACAAAGAAATTCTTACCAGACGCCTTGAAGGTGCATTAACAAAGGAGGTAAATTAGGACTTTTTACTTCTTGTATTGCGAGAAAGCTCCATAAGCACAGATGGACAGGTTAATTTGCCTCACAGAAAATGTATCAACAATCAGTAATATTATTGTGTCATCATTAACTTGGTCTTTTACAAATTACGGTACATCATACTGCCAGTTGCAAAAACTCACATGGCATTATTATTAATAAGTACTTATTACGGAGCCATCTTGCAATACAATAAGAATAAAATGTAACTTTATTACTCAATACATAATTAACATATTTCATGTCAGAACATGTTGTAATATATATAAAATATTGTACACAGTATACTCGTCAATGTACATTTTACATTAGTCTTATTTTCAATATTATAACGGTATTTGTAATTATATTTGCACCTAAATTATTCAAAAATAAAAATAAAAAATTCATGTCAAATAATTAAAAAGTGTACATCACAACCTGCCAAGAGTTTGAATAAATGACTCAATGATTCATGAGGTTTTGCAACGTCGAGTCAATCACAAAATCGTCTGCCGTATACCGCTGAATATAGAAAGTCACTATAACTTTCTGGCTCTTAAGGTTAAAATCAAAAATAAAAGGAGTATTAGTGCTAACAACCACAGCTGACCTGCCTTTATACGAAAATTCCTCTTTTCCTTTCGAACCTGGTTTTCTGGTGAAATGTCTCTTTCTCAGAACATCTTGTCCCTCAAACCGAGCCAGAGAAAACACCTTTTCGACCGATTCCATGCTGGAAAGTGTGGAAATAATTTTTGATTTGTTTACTTCCAATTTTACCTCCCCACCATAACCTCGGAATAATATGGTTATGTGGCGAAATATCGGCCAAGGAATGAACAAAATTACGGGGCTTGCCAGCGATGTTGCCTTGGAATGTGACAACTTGGTGGAGATCTGCTTTCCGATTTCAAACAGATAGCTGTCCACCAAAGGACCAGACAGCTCCAGTTTGTTGCCACAAACCTCTTCCAGTCCACCGTTCATGTTCCCCATGCCATAGTTTGGTCATCCTCTGGCCCGTCTGACTGCCTTTATCCACTCACGCTCAAACGAAAACTTCATTTCTACTTCATTATTATTCCAAAATTTTTTCCCCCTCTCTGTGAGCTCTGTTTGGCCTTTCAAATCGAATACTATATCACTTATATTGGCCACCATTTTGTTTTAATTTTTGTCTTTTACACTCAACCATGGTAGTTACAGCTGACAATTATGAGCCCGCGCTTCCGGGAGGAAAATGCATAGCAACGAGCCACCGTGAAAATTCATATGACATCACATGCAAAACAACACACAAATGCGTTACCCAAACCCTCCAGAGGAAATTGGCAATTTACAAACCCCCCAATTGCTAAAATGGCTTGGCTACAAAGCAATAATGTATGCCCATTCATTTGGCCGCTAAAGAGGCCACAAGTGTTTTGGTACCTAGATCTTCCTGGCCACTTTTCATCCACTTTCTCCCTGGCCACTTTCCATCCACCACTTTCCTGGATGGCCAGATATTTATCTGGCCAAGTTTTAAGTACATCAAATTAATCCATGAAATAAATATTCTACTTACAGTCGACTGAGAAATTTTAAACAGTGTGCAAGATGAATTTCAGCAAACCGTTGCCTCAGTCTGCACATTACCAGAAAAAATTCTTCTGAAGGTGTTAAAGTCCTTGGCCTTCCTTGCTTTACAGAATTACCAGCAGCAGCCTTTGGTAAATCATCTTGGCTAGACAACCAGTATTTAATATTTATTCCATTGACACCAGGATTCAAATATTCATACAGAGCCATCATTGTTTGGACATTTGGAAACCCAGTATAAAATGTAAACAAAGAGTCATCTGTTTTGACGTTGTCAAATGAAAACATGTGCTTCTCGAGTTTCTCGCATTTTTGCCAGAGAAGAGCAATGTTTTCCTTTAGAGATAACACCTCGCTCTCTAACTTTTCTTTCATTTTAACAGTTGCGGCTAAAAGTTTCTCGAGTCATGCAATTTCCGGATTTTCTTCGGACTGCAAATCAAAATTTGAGGAAGATTGCAGTTCTTCAATTTCCGGTGGGAGGTGTGAGTTAGATGAGCTTTCTGATGTCTCCAAAATTTCGCTCAAACTGGCAGTCTCCACAACCTCACTAATATTTTCGTTTAAGTTGTGTGATACAGTGGCGGCTGTACTGGGGATGCGAGGCACTGGAGGCAGTCGCTTGCGAGGTGAGCTTCATTTCCAAGTGAAAACTGAAGGAACAGCCCCTTTCCTCAAGAAAACTGCGCAATTGAAACTCTTGTTTAAATCTTCAGATTTGAAGTGCCACGAGCAAACTTTAGTAGTATTTGAAATCTGGAAATTTTTTCCCTCATCTCTCTGAATAGCATGAATCCACAACTTTCTCAACCCTTCTTCGGTGGGAAATTTAAAGTAAGAAACCTGCCTCTGGTCTCTTCCTTGTGATATCTTTTCTTTGTACGTAGCAGCACACAGCAATGCGTGGGCATCTTAGGTGCTGCTGAAAACACTGCCAGCCAAATAGCTGGAACTGCCTATGGATTTTCTGAACTTTTTCCAAGAACTATATTAAAAAACTGAAAAGAATGAGTTTTTCCTATGTAACAGCACAGCTAAGTAGCTCTCAACATCTAGTCGCTCTATAAGTAAACATTACCCTGGCCTTTCCGATCTCGTTTTCATGCCCTTGAGGCTAGACCGTTCTGTGCAGCAGCCATTTATGAATACGATGTATAGTTTGTCACTCTGAAACAGACATGGATAAATCAAATTTCAATAACATCTACGTATCTTTGAAACAAAGGAAGCCAAAGTAAGGTTATATCAATTTTCAAGCTTTATATGACAGCTTATGTGTATGCAGTCAAGAACTCACCTTTAGTGCAACAGGAATTCTGCAAACTCGCTTTCAGTTCTTTCTTCAAAGCCAAGAGAATGCTTTTGTCCTTTCCAGAGGTTAAAAACGGACTCTCAGACGAATCATCTTCAAGGAACCCGGTAACTCCGATCATCCGACTCGACGGTGCAAAAAGGCTGCCATCTTGTCTTGCACTCGTCGGCTTCAAACAACTAATTTTATAAATATACACCGAATATATACAAAATAACACAGGAAAGCTATAGAATGATAAACAGGGAACGTATTTACACCGGCTGATTAAAATATATGTACAGGATTGTAATGAAAAAAGGCGATGGTAAAAGGTCTTTGATGTTTTTGTAAGTTTCGTGTCACATGAAATTCAGATCAGTGAGAGCAGTGCGCAATGCATTTTGGGTGAATGTGGGCCTTTAAAATAATTAGTTAATATGTTTGTTTATTATGTAATACAATGTAGCTGTGACAATGCTGCAGCTACTGTCTGATGTTAACTACACATAGGATGGGTTGCAGAACTCAGCTTCCAAGTCAGTTTGTTCAATGACCTTAGTGCAGCAATTATAATATTAATTTATTTAACCTTGCCTCACTAAAATACTAACTTATATAATCACATCTTGTTGCCTGTAAATACAGAGAAACCAAACAAAGCATTACAATCGTAATAAATGATTGAAGTTCTGCATCCACTCACACTAAACTGAACACTTTTATGTACAGTGTATGTTTCCATTAGTATTGAGGAACACTCGGAAGCTGCACACATGCAGTTGTTTATAGAACTTTTCACGCATAAATATCTCTGTCATAACAATGGTCTCTGTGTTCTACAACAATTTATACACATGCAATATACACTACCAACTGTAGTTTCTTAAAAATCCCATGAAATACTCATGAAAGATCCATGAATCTTGTTTCAATTTCCTATTTTCATGGCCTCACGGAAAGCCATTAATTTTTAATGAAAATTCTTTCACAGCCCATGGCCATGAAAATTCGTCACTGATCCAGAACAAAAATTAATGGGTCATTAAAATATGTTTTCATGGCCGTGAAATTCATTAATAAATCAAAGTTAACTGCCGCGACCCTTCAATCTATTGCACTTAATTAGATCAAGTGCAAGTCACCAAAGCTGCCAAAACCAGTTCAAAGGGCTATAAAGGAATTGAAACAACTGGACAACATCGATGTCACAAAGCAGTATAGAGGTACTGGTGTAGTCATCATGAACAAATCTGACTATGTTAACTTGCTAAGTCAGGTATCTATCAATGATACATCGAAGTTCACCCCCATCAGCTTGCTGAGACCAAAAATGAGAGGCGGACCAGGAAAACATTACCATCCCCTGTTGCAGAACTCAAATCTTTAGGATGGAAGATTTTGCCAAAGCAGATTGCTGATTGTGTTTGCCAGTCAGGCTCACGTCTTGCCCATCTTTATGGAGTCCCAAAGACACACAAAGAGAAACTCTCAGTGAGACCTACCATATCTGCCAGTGGTACTTAAGACTATGCCCTTGCCAAGTGGCTTGAAAACCTGAAGCCCCTGTCAGTCAATCACTATACAATAGCAAATACCTTCTCTTTTGCCCTAGAAATTCAAAACCTAGTCATCGACAACAATGACATTCTGGTATCCTATGACATCGTGTCTCTATTCGCTAATGTACTACTTCAAGAAACTATCAAAATCATTACTGAAATGGCATGCGTTGACAAGTGGTTTAACGTTGCACACAATCTTAACATTGTAAATGGTTTGAACCCAATCAATCATACAACAATCATACAAAGTTCTAGTTCTCGGACAGAACTTTCTGCAATTACACTGTACATACTTCTATTTAAATTATGTCACATTGAAATTCCTTCAATCAGCTGAAAATCCCGACAATTTCTGCGGAAAATGAATTCTAGTAAATATTGTGCGTGTTGTGCCGCGCAGTCTGCAACTGCTGGAAGAAAATTCAACAATTAAACGAGACTTACCTGTAAGTTGAAGTTTGATTAGAATTCTATCTGTCACCAAGCACTGAGGGATTACGTGAGATAGCATTGCGCCTGCGTGAACTCAGTTTTTAAAGCACTTAACCATGTGGGCAGTGGAAAATCCAGCACCAAACCACGAAAGGGTTGGGCATGAAACGTAATTTGTGACTCCTTGCTTGTCATATCCTCAAGATTTAGCATATGTATGGTTTGCCCACGCTGGGCCGAAACTAAAGACATTAACACAACTGTTTTCAATGTCAAGTCTTTAAGAGGAACATCCCTGGT